AGTTACATGAACTAAAAGGCATTAGTTTTTATTTTGCTTTCAAAATATTTGATTTAAATGTTTTTGTTTAAGCCGATTAATCAGAGCTCTTTTATATACATATTACACACAACACCTATATAGCTACACAGAAAGACAGAAGAAGATGACTACAGTGGTTGTAAGATTTTTCATCTGCCAGTTTTTAAATTTCTTAATTGAATTACTGGATTCAGGGTGGAGCCCTTGGAAGAACAGGGCCAAGAAAGGGGTCTCTGATGCTTCGTTTTTCCCAAGGAGTCCAGACTGTTACAGCTTGAACATCTGCTTTTAATTAAACTGATTTTAACCATAGCACTCTTTAATAAAGTCCTTTTAGAAGTTTCTATGCCAAATGGCTGGTATTTCCGGCTTTTGAACTTTATCAAAGGTAACCTCCCAGGTGCTTAGAAAAACGAAAATATAAAACAGTTCACAGAGAAGAGAATAGATAAGGTCACACAGATATTAAACCAGAAACGACTTACTTCCTAGGTGGGGAACTGAACCCGGACTGCTGCCGTGAAAGTGCAAAGGCTGGCTGGGTGCAGTGGCTCATGCCTGTAATCCCAGCACTTTAGGAGGCTGAGGCAGGCAGATCACCTGAGGTCGTGAGTTTGAGACCAGCCTGCCCAATATGATGAAACCCCATCTGTACTAAAAATACAAAAATTAGCTCGGCGTGGTGGCACACACCTGTAGACCCAGCTACTTGGGAGGCTGAGGCAGGCAAATTGCTTGAACTTGGCAGGTGGAGATTGCAGTGTGCCAAGATCGTGCCACTGCACTCCAGCCTGGGCAACAGAGCGAGACTCCAACTCAAAAAAAAAAAAAAGAAAGTGCAAGAACTTAGCTACTGAGCTACAGCACAGGGCAGTCTCTGTTCACTTTCCCAGAAGGAGTCTAGAGTAGTTAATTTTGAGCTTATATTATAACAGCTTTTAACTATTTAACATGATTTTTAGAGCTAACCATGACATGAACCCTGAAATTCCTGTTCCCTGAAGATGGGGACCAAAAGAAAGTACCATGCAAGGTTAAAAGGTCAAGTTCCCAAGGACATAAAACAAGGTGGAGCCTTCATCCAATCTTTCATTTGTTTCAGGGACCTGCAGCCAAGTATGTTACTGACCAGCTTGCTGGGTCATCTTGAAAAGCGGGCTTTTTTTTTTTTTTTTTTTTTTTGAGACGGAGTCTCAGGCTGTTGCCCAGGCTGGAGTGCAGTGGCGCGATCTCGGCTCACTGCAAGCTCCGCCTCCTGGGTTCACGCCATTCTCCTGCCTCAGCCTCCTGAGTAGCTGGGACTACAGGCGCCCGCCACCGCGCCCGGCTAATTTTTTGTATTTTTAGTAGAGACAGGGTTTCACTGTGGTCTCGATCTCCTGACCTTGTGATCCGCCCGCCTCGGCCTCCCAAAGTGCTGGGATTACAGGCTTGAGCCACCGCGCCCGGCCTGAAAAGTGGGCTTTTTTTTTTTTTTTTTTTTTTGAGACGGAGTCTTGCTCTGTCGCCCAGGCTGGAGTGCAGTGGCCGGATCTCAGCTCACTGCAAGCTCCGCCTCCCGGGTTCACGCCATTCTCCTGCCTCAGCCTCCCGAGTAGTTGGGACTACAGGCGCCCGCCACCGCGCCCGGCTAGTTTTCTGTATTTTTTAGTAGAGACGGGGTTTCACCGTGTTAGCCAGGATGGTCTCGATCTCCTGACCTCGTGATCCGCCCGTCTCGGCCTCCCAAAGTGCTGGGATTACAGGCTTGAGCCACCGCGCCCGGCAAAAAGCGGGCTTTTTATTTATTTATTTTTTTTGAGAGAGAGTCTCACTCTGTTGCCAGGCTGGATGCAGCGGCACAATCTCGGCTCACTGCAACCTCCGCCTCCTGGGTTCAAGAGATTCTCCTGCCTCAGCCTCCCGAGTAGCTGGGACTACAGGCGCACGTCACCACACCCAGCTAATTTTTGTATTTTTAGTAGAGATGGGGTTTCACCATGTTGGTCAGGATGGTCTTGATCTTCTGACCTCATGATCCACTTACAGGTGTTCTAAGCCTGTGTTTTATCCTAAAGTACCCTTTGACACAGAAAAATGAATTCAAAGCACAAAATACACCAGCTTAAGACTAGCCTTAGAATTCTTTTTCACATTAATCAAAACTTTACAGAGGAGATAAACACTGATTTATTCATTATTATTATTATTATTATTTTGAGACAGAGTCTGGCTGTGTCGCCCAGGCTGGAGTACAATGGCGCTATCTCAGCTCAGTGCAACCTCTGCCTCCCAGGTCAAGCAATTCTCCTGCCTCAGCCTCCATACAAGTAGCTAGGACTACAGGCACACGTGCCTCCACACCAGGCTAATTTTCTGTATTTTTAGCAGAGACAGGGTTTCACCATGTTGGCCATGGCTAGTCTCAAACTCCTGACCTCAGGGGATCCACCCGCCTCAGCCTCCCAAAGTGCTGGGATTACAGGCATGAGCCACCATGCCAGGCTGATTTTTTTTTTTAAAAAAAACCATTCATTTAACCATTTGTACAGTGAGAGAGAAGCCAGAAATCTGACTAGTAATAAATTCTTACCCTTTTGCCAGCATCCCAGGCTTCTGGGCTCCCTTTCCCTTAGTGGTCCTAGTGTTCAAGCTCACGGCATCACTGCCCTGGGGGCCAAGTCATATCATAAAGGAAAATTATCTTTTTTTCGTTCTGGCCAGAGCAAAATACGTGTGATAAAACAAAGACATCAGCCACTCCGCTTAGCACCCAATATCAAACTAGCAAGGCTTAAATCTGCCCCCAGATGGGCCTGTCATCTTTAATTCAACCTCCGACTTGGAATTTCAATATGTAGTCTCTAGGCAAGGTGGTCGCCCTGAGTAATAGAAAATATAAGAAACTCGAAGTAGAGAAGAAAAGTATTGCCTGTAGCAGGGTGGGGAAGCTGATGAGCTTAGGGAGGCCAGAGAAAAAGACCCACTCATTGCAGCCGACAATGAAAACTTCAAGACGCCGCTTGTCCGTAGCAAATGAGCCTTTTCCAGCAGTCCCATCAGCTCTCAAGTTTCCCCTTTTAGGGAGGAAAAAGCTCCCCATGTCCCACGATCCTGTACATACCTAACCCTGTCACCCACAGCCATCAACAAACAGCGTAAGACAGATTAATCCAAAAAGAACAGCAGTTAACATCCCATAGTGCCAAACCTGTTCTTAGATGACAGGGACTTAACTCAGAGGGGACTCTAACTCCCTACATCTTAGAAGGGCCTCCAACCCAGGGTCGGTCAAGTGTCCTTGCCTTTTATTAAGAGGGGCCTCTGGCCGGCGCGGTGGCTCAAGCCTGTAATCCCAGCACTTTGGGAGGCCGAGACGGGCGGATCACGAGGTCAGGAGATCGCGACCATCCTGGCTGACACGGTGAAACCCCGTCTCTACTAAAAAATACAAAAAAACTAGCTGGGCGAGGTGGCGGGCGCCTGTAGTCCCAGCTACTCGGGAGGCTGAGGCAGGAGAATGGCGTGAACCCGGGAGGCGGAGCTTGCAGTGAGCCAAGATCACGCCACTGCACTCTAGCCTGGGCGGCAGAGCGAGACTCTGTCTCAATAAAAAAAAAAAAAAAAAAAAAAAAGGAGGGGCCTCTAACCCACTCTGTCTTAGGAGAGACTCCTAGACATAAATACTGTTGTTTCTGCAATATAGTCGCTTCTGCGGCCACCACAAATATGTTACAGGACCCCGACACTTACCCAAAGGTAGCCATTGGGTCAGGGTTTTTGCACTATAGTACCTTTGTGGTTGCCAGAAATGTTACAGGACAGGAATCCCGATCCAGACTCCAACTGAGGGTTCTTGGATCTCGCACAAGAAATAATTCAGGGCAAGTCCACAGTGCGATGTAAAAGCAAAATTATGAAGAAAGTAAAGGAATAAAAAGAATGGCTACTCCATAGACAGAGCAGCCCCGAGGGCTGCTGGTTACCCATTTTTATGGCTGTTTCTCAGTGATATGCTAAACAAGGGGTGGACTATTCACGCCTTCCCTTTTTAGACCATAAAGGATAACTTCCTGACATTGCCATAGGATTTGTAAATGGCGCTGATGGGAGTGTAGCAGTGAGGATGACCAGAGGTCCCTCTTGGGGCCATGTCGGTTTTGGTCGGCTTCTTTACTGCAACCTGTTTTATCAGCAAGGTCTTTATGACCTGTATTTTGTGCTGATCTGTCTCCTCCTGTGACTTCGAATGCCTTAACCGTCTGGGAATGCAGTCCAGTAGGTTTCAGCCTCATTTTACCCAGCTCCTGTTTAAGATGGAGTTGTTCTGGTTCACACGCCTCTGACACCATCTCTATTTAAAAACAAAACAAAACAAAAACCCCAAAAAACTGGCAAAGATAGCACAGCCTATATTTAAAGTCAGAAGGGACTGCCACCTGCTGGTGATCGGGTAGGAACGGACAGATAGCTCACAGACCAAACCTAAAAGATAATGGCAAGTATTAAAGAGCTAACACATTCGACTTTAGGGGAACAGTACTGATTCTAATTAAGACACGGAGGTAACTGCACATGATAAACTCCAAAGAAAAAACAGCATTTTAGAAGAACGCATTTCTGTTAACAAAAACCTCAGGTTAAAATGCATTCTGCGACATAACTACCTACAGACTCATCACAGGTGAGGCCAGTCCGACAAAGATGCCTGCCAGATCCACGCCGAGCTTCTAAAGCCTAAAGGTTCTCAAAGAGTACCACCCGCCCAATCAATGCTCTCCAAAACACTAACGCCACAACCAGACATTTCACATTGCAGTCATTTCAAAGCGATTCAGCTGCCCGCTGCAAAGCATCGATGAAACTGAGAAATGCCGGGCTTCGTTTTATGACATACAAAAAGAGAAAGTCACCCTCGGCTGGGTCGCCCGTCCAAAAGGGAACAGACACCCATGTGTCATTCCCAGGCAGGGGGAAAGCCGCCTACTGTCCCCACTCTGTCTCCGCTGCCAGGCACATCTCTCCAGAATTGTCTGGGGCGTGCGCGATGCCGTGCTTCTGTTGCCCGCTAGACTGCAAGCTCCAGGAGGGTAATGGGCACCTCTTCCCTCAGGGTCGCCAGCGCCGACGCGCTTAGAGGACCCTGTCGCGGGGTTAACCAGACCCGGGTTCCGCTCGGCGGACACCGCGCCGAGGCCATAGCCGCGCCGCCCTCCGCCAGGCTCCTGGCCCAACCTCGAAACCTCCCACGGAGAGCTCGCGCCTGCGACCGCAAAGGACGGCTCCTGAGGCGAAAGCCACCCCGCGGCGGGCGGTTTCCAGCTTTACTTTTATTTGGGAGCGAGGGGAACGCGACACACTACTGGAAGGGCTCAGCGCAGCACCAAAGCGCGGGGGCCGGAAGCGCGGGCGGCCCCTCCCCCTTCCGCTGCGCCCCTCCCCCACCGCCACCACCGCGCGCGACCCCCACTCGGCGCGCGACCCGCTCTGCGTCCCCGCCGGCGCCACGTTCCCGCGTCCTTCCCCGCCCGGGCCATGGGGCACGTCCCTCCCCGCCCCCCACTTACCTGTGGCTGCTGCCTCGCCGCTCTCGAGGGCGGGAACTTCCACTCCCCCCTCCCAGGTAGATCGGAATTCACTACCCACGTCCCCACCCCCTCACGCAGCGGGGGACTAGCCTCCTTCTCGGGGGTCAGGTGGGGCGGGGAGAATTAGTGTCACTTAACAGCCAACTGTCCTAAGGTACCGTTTGCTCGGCAGTCAGGGCCGCCACTGGCGGCATGATCTACACCAAGCCGGGGGCGGGGGCGGGGGCGGGGGCGGGGGCGGGGGCGGGGGGGGGCAAAACTGAGTACAAGTGTGTGCTAGGGAGAAGCTACGGCGCTGCCTCCGCGCGGGCCGCCGTCCTGCGTCACCGCGCTGCCCACGTGACGCGCCGCCATCTTGTACGCGGTCCTGACTTGTGGCTAGGGGTGTCTCGGAACGCGTTCCTGAGGCTGCCGGGAGAGAGGGAGGCTGCCCGGGGTTCCGTTTCTCCTTAGGAGCGGTACCCTGCCCCGCCCCGCCCCGCCCCGCCCCGCTCCACGTCCGCTTCCGGAGGCCATGAGCAGCTGGGTGCTCGCGGGAGGCCGTTTCATCGATGAGTGGCGGCGCTGTCAACTCAACTCCGGCCAGTTGACGTTGACCGACGCCGGCCTGTTTTCCTTCCTCAGCTTTTTTTAAATATTTTTTTTATGGAGATGGAGTCTTTTTTTTTTTCCCCGAGATTGAGACGGGGGTCTCGCTCTGTGGCCCAGGCTGTAGTGCAGTGGCGCGATCTCGACCCACTGCAGCCTCCAACCCTGGGGTTCAAGCGATTCTCCAACCTCAGCCTCTGGGGCAGCTGGGACCACAGGCGCGCGCCACCACGCTCGGCTTGAAGAGAAGAGGACTCACTATGTTGCTCAGGCTGGTCTTAAACTTCTGGGCTCAAGTGATCCTCCGCTTCGGCCTCCCAAAGTCCTGAGATTACAGGCGTGAGCCACCGCGCCCGGCCTTACTCAGGTTTTTCTTAATCCCATAAAGTAACATTGAGTTGTGTCCTTTAACCCATGTGGAAGGATTTTCTACAGAAACGGATTTACAATGAGACGTAACAAGGTGGCTGGGCGCGGTGGCTCACGCCTGTAATCCCAGCACTTTGGGAGGCGCAGGCGGGCGGATCACCTGAGATCGGGGGTTCGAGACCAGCCTGACCAACACGGAGAAACCCCGTCTCTACTAAAAAAAATACAAAAGTAGCCGCGTGTGGTGGCGCATGCCTGTAATCCCAGCTACTCGGGAGGCTGAGGCAGGAGAATCGCTTGAACCCGGAAGGCAGAGGTTGCGGTGAGCCGAGATCGCGTCATGGCACTCCAGCCTGGGCAGCATGGGCAAAACTCCGTCTCAAAAAAAAAAAAAAAGAAAAGAAAAGAAAAAACAAACGTAACAGAGTGTTAATAAACTGTTATGCTGTTGTTTTAATGCATTACAAAAACTTTTCAGAATATTTTTGTGTCTACCTCTCTGGAAAAGGAATTATGCCTTATTCTTAATTTTTAAAATTTCCTTGCAAAATGCTGTTTTATGGTTTTAATTATAGTAAACGACAAAAGATAAATTTTTTTAGTATGCTCTTGACAGAAAGTTCCAAAAGTTTTCTGAAATTTTGCTAGTTTGAGATCCCTAATTTAGGAAACTGATTTAGTGGAGAGAGCTTTTCCTATTTTGGGCCCTTTGGATCGAAGAATGTGATGTAAAGCCGAAGATTTACTCTGCTAGACCCTTTTAAGAGGTCACTAACGTTTAGCTATTGACATTCAGCAAACATTATTGATTACCTATTAAATGCTAGACCGGGAAACAACTGTTAAGTCAGCGTTTCAGCATTACTGAGAGAAAAGTGGCCTATAAAGGTAAGGGAGGGGAAGAGTTTCTCAGATATCAGCCTTCGATGATTAACAAAGTCCAACCTCAGTCATTCTGGAATCCAGAATATTGATTGCTGGAAGGCTGGTTGTGCTAGTTTACTGTTCTTTGGTGTTTGGGTTTTTCTTCCGTGGACCACAGAATGCTTAACAAAAGTTGATCAGTAAAAAGCAGGGGAGGGGCCGAGCGCGGTGGCTCACGCCTGTAATCCCAACACTTTGGGAGGCTGAGGCGGGTGGATCACCTGAGGTCAGGAGTTCGAGACCAGCCTGACAAAATGGCGAAACTCCGTCTCTACTGAAAATACAAAAATTAGCCGGACGTGGTGGCATGAGCCTATAGTCCCAGCTACTCAGGAGGCGGAGACAGGAGAATCGCTTGAAGCCAGGAGAGGGAGTTCGTGGTGAGCTGAGATCGCACCACTGCATTCCAGGCTGGGCAACAGAGTGAGACTACGTCTCAAAAAAACCCAAAAAACCACAACTCAGTTGACAGAGGAAAAGAAGAAAAAGTTATGCTTGTTCAACACTGCCCCTCAAAAATACTTCTGCCGTTTCTCTTTCTCATTGAAGTGTCATAGCTGTGCCTACCAGTCTTCTGAATTGTGATAACTAGATGAAAAAAAAAAAAAAGAGGTCTTGATTCTGATGCATGCAGTTTATTTGAATAGTAACTTTCATAAACCAGATGGACAGATGTTTAATTTTAGAAGCAAGGAAAGAGAAACAAAGAAACTTAGGGCCATGGCTGGGCATGGTGGCTCAAGTCCGTAATCCCAGCACTTTGGGAGGCCAGGGCGGTCAGATCACTGGAGGTCAGGAGTTCAAGACCAGTATGGCAAAAGCCTGTCTCTACCAAAAATACAAAAAATTAGCTGAGCATAGTGGAGCACACCTGTAATCGCAGCTACTTGGGAGGCTGAGGCAGGAGAATCACTTGAACCCAGGGGGCGAAGGTTGCAGTGAGTCGAGATTGTGCCACTGCACTCTAGACTGGGTGACAGAGCAAGACTCCACCTCAAAAAAAAAGAAAAAGAAAGAAAAACTTAGAACCAAAGGTAATTTTTTTTTTTTTTTTTTTTTTTTTTGAGACAGAGTCTTGCTCTGTCGCCCAGGCTGGAGTGCAGTAGCGGGATCTCGGCTCACTGCAACCTCTGCCTTCCAGGTTCAAGTGACTCTCCTGCCTCAGCTTCCTGAGTAGCTGGGATTACAGGCACTTGCGACTACGTCTGGCTAATTTTTGTATTTTTAGTAGAGCTGGGGTTTCACCATGTTAGGCGGGTCTCAAACTCCTGACCTCAGGTGATCTGCCTCCCAAAGTGCTGGGATTACAGGTGTGAGCCACCGCCTCTGGCCTAAAGTAATGTTTCTTAAAAATAAACTGGGCAAGCCTGTGGTAGCACCACTTTGGCTCTTCTGGCACATTTTTTTGTTGTTAGAAAAGAGATGTGACCAGGCGCATTGGCTCATGCCTGTAATCCCAGCACTTTAGGAGGCCGAGGCGGGCAGATCACCTGAGGTCAGGAGTTCGAGACCAGCCTGGCCAACATGGTAAAACCCTGTCTCTACTAAAACTACAAAAATTAGCCGGGCATCTACTAGTGCGCATATGTAGTCCCAGCTACTCAGGAGGCTAAGGCAGGAGAATTGCTTGAACCCAGGAGGCAGAGGTTGCAGTGAGCTGAGATTATGCCACTGTAGTCCAGCCTGGGTGACAGTGCAAGACTGTCTCAAAAAAAAAAACAAAGAAAAAAATTAGCCAGGTGTGGTGGCGTTCACCAGTAATCCTAGCTACTTGGGAGGCTGAGGCAGGAGAATCACTTGAACTCGGGAGGCGGAGGTTGCAGTGAGCTGAGATCACTCCACTGCACTCCAACTTGGGCAACAGAAGGAGATTCCATCCGCCCTCCCCAAAATAAGAGAGGTTATAATGAAATGAATTTAATAAGACTGCCTATCCCATAGGGTTTTGTAGACTGAATTACTTTGATACATGTAAAGTTAGAGCTGTGCCTAGTACATAGTAAGCACTAAATAAATGTTGGATTTTTTTAGACGGTCTTGCTGTGTCGCCCAGGCTGGAGTACAGTAGCGCACGATCTCAGCTTACTGCAGCCTTGACCCCCTAGGCTCAAGCTATCCTCCCACCTTAGCCTCCCAAGTACCTGGGACTATAGATGTGCAGCACCACGCCCAGCTAATTTTTAAAGTTTTCTGTAGAGATAGGGTCCCTCTGTGTTGCCCAGGCTGGTCTCAAGCTCCTGAGCTCAAGTTATCCACCTTAGCCTCCCAAAGTGCTGAGATTGCAGGTGTGAGCCACAGAGCCTGGCCGGAACCTTCTTGATGTTGGTCAGAGCAGCCTGCAGCTTTCACGCACCTTTCTAAGCCCCCAGGTAGTGATGGTGACTGAAGCTCTAAGGGCAGAAGAGTCAAACCCTTACCCAGAAAAAGTAAATCTGTTCACGTGAGAACAAATCACTGGCCCTTCTATGATGAAAGAAGCCCGACATTGTCAACTTGCTATGAAGTGGCCTAGTAGTCTTCTGAAGTGAGCAACATTGGGAGCTCACTGTTGGTCTCTGTCAGTGTTTAGTTGAGGTTTCAGAGACAGTAGTAGTAAAATCAGTTTTAGTAAGTAGGAGTCCATGCATAGCCTCCACCTCTGCCACTGTGGCCGCTGGATTCATATGCTCATTGTGCCAGTTCCAAGAAGTCAATAGGTGGCTGACATCAACCAGCCAAGTCCAGCCCAGGCTGGAGTGCAGTGCTGCGTTCTTGGCTCACTGCAACCTCCGACTCCCTGGTTCAAGAATTCTCCTGCCTCCCGAGTAGCTGGGATTACAGGTATACACCACCATACCTGGCCAATACATATTTTCCCGGAGCCTGTAAAGGTGAACCCACTGGGACTGGCTGGGGAAAAAGAGGAAGATTTGTTCCAGAAGGAACTGTCTGAGGGATGATAAAGATTTCTATACAAAGAAAGGGAGTAATCATCACTTGTTGAAAACATTGATTTTATTTTTTCTGGGTCTGAGTAAAGAACAAAGTGTATAAAAATGGTAGGTATCTGTTTACATATTTAACTGGTTTTATAATAGCAACCTTTTGCTCTTAGGTTACATAGTGTTAAATATTGTGTACATTTATATTTTCCAATCCAATAAGAACTTTTTATATATATATATATATGTATATTTTTTTGAGACAGAGTCTTACTCTGTTGCCCAGGTTGGAGTGCAGTGGCACGATCTCAGATCACTGCAACCCCTGCCTCCCAGGTTCAAGCGATTCTCCTGCCTCAGCCTTCTGAGTAGCTGGGATTACAGGCACGAACCACCATGCCTGGCTAATTTTTGTATTTTTAGTAGAGACGGGGTTTCACCATGTTGGCCAGGCTGGTCTCCAACTCCTGACCTCAGGTGATCCACACGCCTCAGTCTCCCAAAGTGGTGGGTTTACAAGCATGAGCCACCACGCCCAGCTCTGATTTTTCTATTTTTAGTAGAGATGGGATTTCACCATGTTGGCCAAGCTGGTCTCGAACTCCTGGCCTCAAGCAATCCACCCACCCCGAGGTGGTGGATTTTGGTGGGAAGCATTGCTTCCCAAAATGCTGGGATTACAGGTGTGAGCCACTGCACCCAGCCTTTTTTTTTTTTTTTAAATAACACTGTTATAGAAGAATGTCAGTTTACTCCAGGGCACTTCAGTATTCCTGAGGAATAAACACAGTTTCTCTTTTCCTCCCACTGGGATGTTGTCAGGTGAAGTCACTGCTCCTGCTCTTTGACATATTTTCCATGTAGATGATATGGACCTGGAAATCATGCCAATAGTTGGAGTAAGCCATTCCTAATCCCATGCCAGAACTGAAGGCTAATGGCCACACTCATCTTTTAAAGAAGGTAAGTAGGCCAGGCGTGGTGGCTCACGCCTGTAATCCCAGCACTTTGGGAGGCCGAGGTGGGCAGATCACCTGAGGTCGGGAGTTCAAGACCAGCCTGACCAACATGGAGAAACCCCATCTCTACTAAAAATACAAAATTAGCTGGGCGTGGTGGTGCATGCCTGTAATCCCAGCCACTTGAGAGGTTGGGGTAGGAGAATTGCTTGACCAGGAGGCAGAGGTTGCAGTGAGCCAAGATCACGCCATTGCACTCTAGCCTGGGCAACAAGAGCAAAACTCAGTCAAAAAGGAGGGAGGGAGGCAGGAAGGGAGGGAGGGAAGGAGGGAAGGGAAGGGAAGGAAGGCTAATTCAACACTAGTACTTATCATCATGGCCACATCTGCCAGGCACCAATCTCACTTCCTGCCAAGCTTCTACTCCAGCATCTCCCCACCCATGGCTTCCTATCTCATTTAATTTATTGAATACTATGCTGAAAGTGGAAAACAGAATGATTTTATGGGTACTCAAAGTATGGTTTCTACTGACTGCATCACTTTTGCACCATTGTAAAGTTGAAAAATTATAAGTTGAACCATCATAAATCAGACTGTATTTTATTCCTTTTGATGCTATTTCAAATGTAATTGTTTTATGTATTTTATTTTTGGAAAGTTCCTTGCTAGTGAATAGAAATAAAATTGATTTATATTGCTCTTGTATTCTTCAACCTTGTGAAAGTCACTTATTCCTTTTTTTAGTGTTTTCTTAAATTTTTAAAAATTTTTGTAGGTACATAGTAGGTGAATATATTTCTGGGGTACATGAAATGTTTTGATACAGGCATGCAATATGAAATGAGCACATCATGGAGAATGGGGTAACCATCCCCTCAAGCAGTTATCTTTTAAGCTACAAATAATCCAATTATATTATTTAAAAATATACAATTAAGTTATTGACTATAGTCACCCTATTTATTCTAATTGCATATTCTTGTATAAGCCATTTTATCTGTGAATAGAGATAGCTTTTACTCCTCTTTTCCTCTGGATAGCTTTTCTTTCTTTTTCTTGCCTAATCGCTCTGGATAGACCTTTAGTACAACATTGAATAGAAGAGGTGAGAACAGACTTTCTCTTCCCTTGTTTCCAATGTTAGAGAGAAAGAGCATTCAGTTTTTCACTATTAAGTGGAGTGTTACTGAGTTTTTCACAGATGGTCTTTAACAGATTTAGAATTCACCTTCATTTTTTTTGTTTTTCCAGAAATGCAGTCTCACTATATTGCCCAGGCTGGTCTCAAATTTCTGGGCTCAAGCGATCCTCCTGCCTCTGCCTCCCAAAATGCTGGGATTACAGATGTGAGCCACTGTGCCAGGCCCACCTTCATTTTTGAAGACGAGTTTCACTGGATATAGAATTCTGAACTGACAGTTTTTAACTCCTAGCAGCCTCAATGTATTCTATGTTCTGCTGCCTTCCATAGTGTTTAATAAGAAGTTGGCTATCATTTGTATCATTGTTATCTGGTATGTAATATGTCATTTTCCCAGGCTTCTTTGAAGACTTTTGCTTTAAGTTTAGCAGTTTGCCCATGACTCTGCCTAAGCGGTTTTCTTTATATTTATACTGCTTGCTGCTTCTTGAGCTTCTTCAGTCAGTAAACGTATGTCTTTCCAAATCTGGGAAGCTTTTGCCATTATTTCTTCACATATTTTTATGTCCCATTCTCACTCTCCTCCATCTGGAACTCCAGTTACAATAAGTTAGACCACTTAATATTTTCCCACAGGTCTCTGAGGCACTATTTTTTTCTCCAATCTTTTTTCTCTTTGTTCTTCAGATTAATCTATTGATCTGTCTTAAAGTTCAGTTATTCTTTTTCACCTGAGGTCAGGAGTTCGAGACCAGTCTGGCCAACAAACCGCATCTCTACTAAAAATACAAAAACTAGCTGGGCGTGGTGGCAGGTGCCTGGAATCCCAGGTACTCGGGAGGCTGAGGCAGGCAGAATTGATTGAACCCGGGAGGCGGAGGTTGCAGTGAGCTGAGGTTGCACCACTGCACTACAGCCTGGGTGACACAGTGAGACTCCATTTCAAAAAAATAATAATAAATGAAATAAAAAAGCTTGTCCAAATTTTATAATTTCTGTTTTTAGGAGGGTTAATCTGACCAAGTTACTTCATGATTATCATAAGCTAGAGACTCCTGTTTTCTGTTCATCTTGTCTTCAATGATCTTGTCAAAATGTTTTTAGATTATCCTGTATTTTCTCCATAGAGTATCATTTTATCTCTAAATATTAATGTTTTTGTTCTTTTCTATCTAATTCATATAGCTCACTTATTTTTCCCTAACTATGCTAGCTATAATCTCATCTGAGACCCAGACTAGGATAATTTGAAGACTGGGCTCAGCTGGGACTCTTGACCAAAGTACCTAAACATAGTGCCTCTTCCGAGCTTGGGCGTCTTACAACATAGCAGCTGGGTTCTAAAAGGGAGCATCAGGAAAGTCAGCATTTTAAGCTCAAGCTGCTGCTCATCCACGCCAAAAGTCATGCACATCATTTCGGCCACATTCTATTGATCAGACCATATTTGAGGGGAAAGGACTGTACTTCTTGATGAGGGAATGTCAGGATAACATTGCAAAGAGCACATGGGATGGAATATAACGTGTGAAGATATATTGGAAAATGCAGTCTCCACATTAGCAAAGCAAACCCAATGGTGTATAAGAAATAATAGATGATCAAAAGGGGTCAAATCAAGGATGGTTCAATATTAGAAAAATCTCTGGCTGCTACAGATGTGTAAAGAAATTAGTAAAATCTATTTATATAATACATCTTAACCAGCTTAAAGGAAAAAACTATGTGATCATCTCATAGATCCGGGGGGAGGAAAAGATAAACTTCAACACTCATGCAAAAAATCCAGCAAGCACGGAATAAACTTTTTTTTGAGATGGAGTCTCCCTCTGTCGCCCAGGCTGGAGTGCAGTGGTGCAATCTCAGCTCACTGCAACCTCTGCCTCCGGGTTCAAGCAATTCTCCTGCCTCAGCCTCCTGCGTAGCTGGGATTACAGGCGCCCGCTACCACACCTGGCTAATTTTTGTAATTTTTAGTAGAGACTTCACCATGTTGGCCAGGCTGGTCTCCAACTCCTGGCTGCAAGCGATCCACCTGCCTCAGCTTCCCAAAGTGCTGGGACTACAGGTGGGAGCCGCCATGCCCAGCCAGAATAGATTTTTTTTTTTTTTTTTAAGATGGGTTCTCGCTCTCGTCACCCAGGCTGGAGTGCAGTGGCGCAATCTCAGTTCATTGCAACCTCCGCCTCCTGGGTTCAAGTGATTCTCCTGCCTGAGCCTCCCAAGTAGCTGGGATCACAGGTGCCTGCTACCATGCTCAGCTGTCTTGTTTTTTTTTTTTTTTTTTTTTGTATTTTTAGTAGAGATGGGGTTTTACTGTGTTGGCCAGGCTGGTCTCAAACTCCTGACCTCAGGTGATCCGCCCACCTCTGCCTCCCAAAGTGTTGGAATTACAGGCATGAGCCACTGCATGTGGCCTAGACTTCTTTAACTGATAAAAGCATATCTTATCAACAACATACAGTAAAAAGAATACACAATGGTGATACTTCAGAAGCACTACTAGAAAAGTCAAGACTATGAGGAGGATACTCCCTTTATATCACTTTCTACTCAGTTGTGGTTTATGCCACTAAGTTGGGGTGGTTTGTTACACAGCAATAAATAACTGAAACACTGAGATTTTTATTTTTATGAGACAGGATCTCACTTTCTGCCCAAGCTGGAGTACAGTTGCACAATCATGGCTCACTGCAGCCTCAAACTCCTGGGCTCAAGTGATCCTCCGCCTTAGTCTCCTGAGGAGCTGGGACCACAAACGCGTGCTATCATGCCCAGCTATTTATTTATTTTTCTTAGAGATAGGGTCCCATTAAGTTGCCCAGCCTTGTCTCCAACTCCTGGCATCAAGCCATCCTCCTACCTTGGCCTCCTGAAGATTACAGATGTGAGCCACCATGCCTGGCCTAGATTTTATCATTTTGTATCTTTTCTCAAGGGAGATTGATTTAGAATTTTTAAAAACTGCCTTAGTGTGACTTTGGTATCTGACTTATACTAACTTGGTAAGATTAGTTGGATGGCTTTTCCTTTTATATATGAAAAGAGGATTATTTTTTTGCTTTGTGAGCTGAGTGTGGTAAAATTCAGATTTTCTATTTCTTGAGTGAATTTTCAAAGTTACATAATTTTTAGAAAATTATCCATTTCATTTAAAACAGAAATTTACTGAAAAAATAATCCCTTGAAATAGAAGCACAAGTGCTGTATCTGTAGTTAGTTATGTTCCGTTTTGTGTTTCCTACTTTTTGTGTACCTGCGTGCATGCCTTTTGTTAAATGGGTTTTACTGTCATTAGAATATTTGTAAGAAATCAGTTTCTGGTTCTGTTGAACCTTTTTTTCTGTTTTCTTCCTTTTTAATTAATGTCTGCTTTTGTCTTTGTTATTTTCTTCTTTCATCTTTCTTAGTGGGTCTTTTTATTCTTTTCCTAGATTCTGAAACTGAATACAACTAATTCATTTTGTTTGTTCTTCAATGCTTGCACTGTGAACTCCCTCTTACCTGCTTCTTTAGGAACCACCATCATTTCCAGAGTCTATGTTCTGCTTTGTCAGGTCTGTCTGACCATGGGAGTTATTTATAGAAATGATCTCAGAAATGAATGTTCATCTTTGGAGACTGAGAATGGAGATTCAGAGAAGTGAATGAGGTCATCAGGTAGACTTTTATTAATAGCAACTTCTATTAGGATCTTGCTTGTACTCAGTTTTATTTGAAAAAGTGTGCTTCCTCCCTTGCTGCCAATCCTTCCACCTGCTCACTGGAGTCCGTCCGCTCCAGCTTCCTCAGTGACAGTGACCTCACTTTGTCCGTTGTCCCTTATTGCTATATTTAGAAACTTTTCCCTCTATTCCAGCTTTTTCTCCTGACACATTTATTTCTTCCATCTTTAAAACAGCCCCCCTTGATTTTACATCCCCCTTCTAACTACTGTCCCCTCTTTCTCCTTCCTA